AGTCGCACACTGAGGAGCCATTCAGCCGCAGCAGGGCAGGAGGGGGCAGAGCGACATGCAGGCAGCACACTCCATAGTGCCCCTGGCTACTGCTCACAAAGAAGCAGCTTGTATCTCACCTCCAGACATTGCTTTCTCCTGGCCCCAAGCCAGCTGGCATCACCCCTTTGGGGTAACCACACAGTGGCAGAAACCTTAGCCAAGACCCTTCCTGCTTTACACCACATCCACCGCCAACTTGGGAACTGAAATAGCTGCTGCTACCAGCATTCTCCTCCCCTGCCTTGCATAGTTTATAGACCAATGATCAACTCACCTCTTAATCTTTGATTTATGGATCTAAATAAATTGTGCTTCTTTAATCTTTGCCTGTAAGGCAGGTTCTCCAGAGTTTTTTCTGAATTGTTTCCTTACATTTGTGGATACCAGAACAGAAACCTATAGAATCATAGAATCAGATCCAGCTCGAGCTATTCCTGAGCCCTGGGCAGCGGGTGCACGATGCATACACAGCTCTGCCCCTGGGCTCACGGCGCATGTGTGGCACTGCCTCCTGGCGTGCTGTGCACCTTACACCTAAAATCGGGTGCACAGTGCCTGATGGCAGCTCTAAGTCAGACCATACTGACTCAAATATGACACAGGACAAAAGTTCCCCTGAAATCTATCTAGCAATCAGCAGAGTACAGCCAGTAGACTGGTTCAAGAAGGTGATCTAGCAGAGTGAAGTTCTATTCCTGTGTGCTTTGCTAGTCAACTGTGGGAGAGTTTTTCTCCTCCCCTAGTCCACAGTCACCCATCTGTAAAATGGGGATAATGATTCTGACCTCCTCTGTAAAGCACTTCCAGATCTATGGATGGAAAATGCTATGCGCATAGGTATAGACTGGTCCAGGAAATTGAAGGGTGTGTCTAGACTACAGGGTTTTGTCGACAAAAGTGGACTTTTGTTGACAAAACTATGCCTGCATCTACACTACCACCGAGTTCTGTCGACATAACATCGACAGAGCTCGGCAGTTTTGTCAACGGCGGTAAACCTCATTCTACAAGGAATAACACCTTTTGTCGACAGAGTTCTGTCGACAGAAGGCGTTATTGCATCTACACTGTCCTTTGCATCTACACTCTCATGTTGACAAAGCAGCTTGCTTTGTCAACAGAACTGGATGTAGTCTAGACACTCTTTGTCGAGAGAAGCATTGTCGACAGTATCTGTCAACAAAACTTCTGTCGACAAAAGCCTGTAGTCTAGATGTACCCCTTGAGTGCTTGGTCCACAAAGTCTTCCTGAGAACAAGAAGGCAGAGAGACATGGCTCTAGTAGAGAGTGGGCAGACTTTGCAGATGATCCAGGCCCCACTTCTGATAAAGAATCAACAATACTCAAACTGTTCCCCAATGCTGCAGACAAACGGAGGAATTTCAAACAATAACTCCACTTCTACAAGCAGAGGCACAGGGAAGTAGGAATAAGATCCTCCGGAAAAGGGCGCTTTTTCCGGAGAATCGGGGCCAGTGTAGACGCTTTTTTTTCGGCTTTTCTAAAAGGCGGAAAAAAGCGGCGGACATTTTTATTTAAATGCCGCGGGGGATATTTAAATCCCCCGCGGATTTCCCTATTACGATCGCTGAAATTAACATGCCCCTTCCGGAAAAGGGGCCAATGTAGACGAGCCCCTGTAGTCTAGACGTACACGAAGATTGTAGCAAGAAGTGAAATATAAAAGCCAAGACTGGCATAGATGTATTGCTTTTATACTTCACTCCTTGCCATAATCTTTCATTTACCCCAACAGTCTGTGAATTATCTGGACTTCATTTCATCCTATAAGAACATTCTCTTATAATGCTTGAGTAGGCTGGAGCAGAGTGGAGACTGGTGGGATTTTATTGCTCTGGAGTAGGAAAGCATATGTATTACTTTGTCTACTGGGGCAGGTATGATTACTTCTAGACACAAGTTTACATACTGTCCTTAGAGCTTGGGATGAGCATTTTAGTCTGTTTCATGTGTTTGAATGGGTCAATGAATAGAAGAAGGTCATTCCACTAGGAATTATTCCTAATTAAATACATAGGGATTGTCAGATTGGATCTAAAAGTAACAACTAAAAATTTATAAAGAGGAAGTCTGACGTGTTGAATGCTATTGCATCTTCATAAATCTGTATCCTAAGTTTTTTTTCCAGTCCAGGACAAAACAGACCAAAAGTTGCCATAGGAGTTTTATTAACATGTACTCTTCTCATTCAAGAAAATTTTTCCCATGCTACAGGTTAGGTTGGCATTCTGTATATGGAATGCCTGCTGGAAATGGAATATCCAAATACCTTTAAAATGCATGTGAATTTTTGTGTATGTAAGTTAATTAACAGATAAAAAGACAGAAGAAAACAGGTAGATTCACAGAGGGATATATCAAATGTGTATGAGAGAGAAAGAGAATTTGGGTTCTTAGATTTTGACGGGAAAAATGTTGTAGATGATAATAGAAAAAATATTTCTATCTTTAAACCTGTAATTCATTCAAAATGTTACTTATCTTTAAATAATCATAAATTGCTAAAATAATTTGATAAATAAATTGCTAAATCAGAGCAGCAGGGTAATATCACTATTCAGTCATAGGACACATGTTCCTGATTCCCAGCTTGTGGAAGACCTTGCTATTGTATTTAGCATTTTGAATAGTTATTTGAGTTCTTATTTCATCTGGAGGTGATGGGGTTGAGTCTGCTGGAGGGGGTGACCCCAGTATGGACTCTGATGCCCCCAAAAAGATACACTAGACATGAGGGGTGCTAATAACATTGTCTGAGCACTTCCCTGAGGGCATAGAGTAGACTATAACAAATTCCCATTCTATCTATATAGATCTATATTGTTCAACATCTTTCTTAATGACCTGGATGAGGGGATGGATTTCACCCTCAGCAGATTTGCAGATGACACAGCTAGAGGGAGAGGTAGATATGCTGGAAGCAGGGATAGGGTCCAGAGTGACCTGAACAGATTAGAGGATTGGTCCAAAAGAAAACTGATGAGGTTCAACAAGGACAAGTGCAGAGTTCTGCACTTGGGACGGAAGAATCCCAAGCATGGTTACAGGCTGGGGACCGACTGGCTAAAAAGCAGTTCAGCCAAAAAGGACCTGGGGATTACAGTGGATGAGAAGCTGGATATGAGTCAACAGTGTGGCCTTGTAGAGAAGTGATTAGTTCCCTTTATTTGGCACTGGTGAGGCCATATCTGCAGTACTGTGTCCAGTTCTGGGTCCCCCACTACAGAAAGAATGTGGATGCATTGGAGAGAGTCCAGCGGAGAGCAACCAAAATGTTTAGAGGGCTGGAGTGCATGGCCTATGAGGAGAGGCTGAGGGATTTTGGCTTCTTTAGTCTACAGAAGAGAAGAGTGAGGGGGGATTAAATAGCAGCCTTCAACTTCCTGAGGGGAGATTCCAAAGAGGAAGGAGAGAGACTGTTCTCAGTGGTGACAGATGGCAGACCAAGGAGCATTAATCTCAAATTACAGTGGGGGAGGTCTAGGTTGGATAGTAGGACAAACTATTTCACCAGGAGGACGGGGAAGCACTTGAATGGGTTACCTAAGTGGTGGTGGAATCTCCATCCCTAGAGGTTTTTAAGTCCTGGCTTGACAAAGACCTGGCTGGGTTGATTTAGTTGGGATCGGTCCTGCTTTGGGTATGGAGTTGGACTCGATGACTCCTGAGGTCTCTTCCAACCCTGGGATTCTATGATACTATGATTCTGTATATTTTAGAGCATTTATGTATCTGTCTGTCTGTACATGAGTCTATCCATCTATCTGTGAGACTGTTTGTTCAAGAACTCCTCCTAAATTATAAGTGCTAGGGTCTCCAAATTTGCTCTGCAGCTTCCTGTTATCCTAAGTTAGAACAAGGTCAGGGGTTGGTTGCACCAGGAAAATGGGGAATGCATGGGACTGAACTGTATGGGATTCCATAACATGGAAAGGGAGGAGTCTCATAGGAAGAACAGTATTGCTCCACAATCACTGCTGGGGACAGCGAGCAAGGCAGAGTGTTATACTGAAGCGTGAGAAGGGGCAGGAGGAGGGCACACCAGGAAGAGAGTAGCTAGATGGGCCCAGGGCTCTCCATATTGCTTTCCACTGGCCACAGGTAAATGGCCTTCATGTTCAGGGCCGGCCCACAACATTTTGGCCGCCTGATGCCCCCATACTCCCTTGCTTGGGCTAAAACTTTGAAAGGTCTCAATTCTGCCTTCTGGTTCTACTCCTCTCATGGTACTGCTCTGATACCTACATATGCACCAATAGCACACACCATTATCTACTCTCTGGGTCCTAGTGGTGCCCTCCCACAGTCTGGCACCTGAGGCAGCTGCCTCAGTTAGTCTCATGGTAAGGGTGGCCCTGCTCGTGTTCCAGACCCATCCTTTCTGGCCCTCACCTTCAGAAGTAGATAGGATGGACAGAGTCTTGATGACCAGCAGACCCCCACAGATCTCCCACCAGGAGCACCACTAGGGCCTCCCCTGCCCTCCCATCCAGAGGATGGGCAATGAAGGTTCCTGTTCCCCACAAAAGAGACAATGGCTGATGGTAGGTACTGTAGCCCCATCCCTCCTTGACAGGAGCTGCCAGCCTGGCCCAGGAAGCCCAGTCCCAGTTCCCTGGCAAGAGTCGCAGACTGGACAGGAGGCCCTGGGTACCCTAGGAAGCCACTATTGCTGATGTAAAGCCTTGCTGTTATGGGCAACCTTGGTGAACCCTCCCAGAGCTCTTAGTCCCCAGCCCTGACTCCTGACACCCTCTTCCCAGAGCTCCCACAAGGACCTGAGCAACACCGGGTAAATCTTCTAGTTGTCTATATTACATCATCAAACTTGTGTGGAACATTATTGGTTTAGATGTCCCAGGAGAGACCTAAAATGTCATTCGGGGGCACAAAGTTTATATTAGAAATAAAATCATACCCATAAAGTCAGGTCTCATTCCTTTCAGAGTTATTTATTTATTTCAACTTTGGAGTCTTCCTGCCAATGACCAGCATTTCCATCTCTTCTCCCTCTGTTTTCTCCCTTGTATTAACTTTCATTTTCCACTTGGCTTCTTTTGCTGTTTCTGACGTTTCACAGATCAACATTCCCTTCTCCCCTCTGTTGGGAATTGTAATTCTCCACATTAACTGGATCTCATTTTTCCTTTTTCAGAGGCTGTAAAGGGACAGGGACTCTGACAGGGAGGATTGTGAGCGGTCTCTGCTCTCCTGTGCTGTTCCCAGGACTGAGGAATGGGTAATACAAACATTTCTCAGTAAACTCTGCAGGGATAGTTACAATGTGGAACATCACCCCTGCCTCATAAAATGAGATTCTTCCCTCTTCCTGATCCAGAAATACCCCAATCACTGCATAGGGTGCATCCTTCTTTTCTATCTTTTTATCTTCTGGTCTTGAAAAAAGGTCTCCCTGGGATCTCTGCAGAGACCAGTATCCCTCCGCAAGCAGTGTCGCTGCCTTCTCTCTTTTCACTGTCTCCCTCACAGCCTGACTCAGCACTCCCAGCTCCCAGTCCCCTTTGCCCCCCACCTCCACCTCCCAGTACTTCCTGCCAGATGCAAACCCCTCCCTCCCCACCACAAGCAGGGCCCTGGAGGCTGCAGCTGGCTCTGGAGATGCAGCTTCATGCCAGACTCTTCTCTGATCCTCTGACAGTCTGAGCTCTGGGTGTTTGCAACCCGGGTCCAGAGTGATGGGAACTGTGGAGAGAAACCAGAACAGTCCCCTGGTTAGTGAGGAGAGACTCAGGGTATGTCTACACTACAAAGTTAGTTCGAACTAACTTTCACAGGCGCTACACTAGCGCTCCGTTAGTTCGAATTTAATTCAAACTAATCGAACGCTTAGTTCGAACTAGGTAAACCTCATTCCATGAGGATTAAGCCTAGTTCAAACTTACTAGTTCGAATTAAGGGGTGTGTAGCCCCTTAATTCGAACTAGTGGGAGGCTAGCCCTCCCCAGCTTTCCCTGGTGGCCACTCTGGCCAACACCAGGGAAAATCTACTGCCCCCCTCCCGGCCCCCTTAAAGGGGCACGGGCTGGCTACGGTGCCCGTGCCAGGTGCAAGACTGCCAGCACCCAGCCAGCATACCCTGCACCTGGCACAGATCGAGCCACCCACCCGACGCCCCCCAGCCCTCCCCCTCTTCCCGGCACCAGCCTGG